AGAGACAGGAGTGACTGCCCGAAGCGCCTTAAAGACTATTCAATGTCCGGAAAACATATCTAGATATAGCCCCACCGCATTTTGGTCGTTGTGGGTCTATAACAATGCCCCGAACCAGGATCGAACTGGTGACCTTTAGATCTTCAGTCTAAAGTATAAGAGACAGGAGTGACTGCCCGAAGCGCCTTAAAGACTATTCAATGTCCGGAAAACATATCTAGATATAGCCCCACCGCATTTTGGTCGTTGTGGGTCTATAACAATGCCCCGAACCAGGATCGAACTGGTGACCTTTAGATCTTCAGTCTAAAGTATAAGAGACAGGAGTGACTGCCCGAAGCGCCTTAAAGACTATTCAATGTCCGGAAAACATATCTAGATATAGCCCCACCGCATTTTGGTCGTTGTGGGTCTATAACAATGCCCCGAACCAGGATCGAACTGGTGACCTTTAGATCTTCAGTCTAAAGTATAAGAGACAGGAGTGACTGCCCGAAGCGCCTTAAAGACTATTCAATGTCCGGAAAACATATCTAGATATAGCCCCACCGCATTTTGGTCGTTGTGGGTCTATAACAATGCCCCGAACCAGGATCGAACTGGTGACCTTTAGATCTTCAGTCTAAAGTATAAGAGACAGGAGTGACTGCCCGAAGCGCCTTAAAGACTATTCAATGTCCGGAAAACATATCTAGATATAGCCCCACCGCATTTTGGTCGTTGTGGGTCTATAACAATGCCCCGAACCAGGATCGAACTGGTGACCTTTAGATCTTCAGTCTAAAGTATAAGAGACAGGAGTGACTGCCCGAAGCGCCTTAAAGACTATTCAATGTCCGGAAAACATATCTAGATATAGCCCCACCGCATTTTGGTCGTTGTGGGTCTATAACAATGCCCCGAACCAGGATCGAACTGGTGACCTTTAGATCTTCAGTCTAAAGTATAAGAGACAGGAGTGACTGCCCGAAGCGCCTTAAAGACTATTCAATGTCCGGAAAACATATCTAGATATAGCCCCACCGCATTTTGGTCGTTGTGGGTCTATAACAATGCCCCGAACCAGGATCGAACTGGTGACCTTTAGATCTTCAGTCTAAAGTATAAGAGACAGGAGTGACTGCCCGAAGCGCCTTAAAGACTATTCAATGTCCGGAAAACATATCTAGATATAGCCCCACCGCATTTTGGTCGTTGTGGGTCTATAACAATGCCCCGAACCAGGATCGAACTGGTGACCTTTAGATCTTCAGTCTAAAGTATAAGAGACAGGAGTGACTGCCCGAAGCGCCTTAAAGACTATTCAATGTCCGGAAAACATATCTAGATATAGCCCCACCGCATTTTGGTCGTTGTGGGTCTATAACAATGCCCCGAACCAGGATCGAACTGGTGACCTTTAGATCTTCAGTCTAAAGTATAAGAGACAGGAGTGACTGCCCGAAGCGCCTTAAAGACTATTCAATGTCCGGAAAACATATCTAGATATAGCCCCACCGCATTTTGGTCGTTGTGGGTCTATAACAATGCCCCGAACCAGGATCGAACTGGTGACCTTTAGATCTTCAGTCTAAAGTATAAGAGACAGGAGTGACTGCCCGAAGCGCCTTAAAGACTATTCAATGTCCGGAAAACATATCTAGATATAGCCCCACCGCATTTTGGTCGTTGTGGGTCTATAACAATGCCCCGAACCAGGATCGAACTGGTGACCTTTAGATCTTCAGTCTAAAGTATAAGAGACAGGAGTGACTGCCCGAAGCGCCTTAAAGACTATTCAATGTCCGGAAAACATATCTAGATATAGCCCCACCGCATTTTGGTCGTTGTGGGTCTATAACAATGCCCCGAACCAGGATCGAACTGGTGACCTTTAGATCTTCAGTCTAAAGTATAAGAGACAGGAGTGACTGCCCGAAGCGCCTTAAAGACTATTCAATGTCCGGAAAACATATCTAGATATAGCCCCACCGCATTTTGGTCGTTGTGGGTCTATAACAATGCCCCGAACCAGGATCGAACTGGTGACCTTTAGATCTTCAGTCTAAAGTATAAGAGACAGGAGTGACTGCCCGAAGCGCCTTAAAGACTATTCAATGTCCGGAAAACGAAAATAGACATAGCCCCACCGCATTTTTGTCGTTATGGGTCTAAAACAATGCCCCGAACCAGGATCGAACTGGTGCCCTTTAGATCTTCAGTCTAACGCTCTCCCAACTGAGCTATCGAGGCTTGTCAATAGGGCAGAGTGACTGCCCGAAGCGCCTAAAAGACTCTTTTTTGTCCGGAAAACATTTCTGGACATAGCCCCACCGCATTTTGGCCGTTGTGGGTCTAAAACAATGCCCCGAACCAGGATCACACTGGTGACCTTTAGATCTTCAGTCTAACGCTCTCCCAACTGAGCTATCGAGGCTTGTAATTGGGGCTGAGTGACTGCCCGAAGCGCCTAAAAGACTATTCAATGTCCGGAAAACATAAATAGACATAGCCCCACCGCATTTTGGTCGTTGTGGGTCTAAAACAATGCCCCGAACCAGGATAGAACTGGTGATCTTTAGATCTTCAGTCTAACGCTCTCCCAACTGAGCTATCGAGGCTTGTAAATGGGACTGAGTGACTGCCCGAAGCGCCTAAAAGACTCTTCAATGTCCGGAAAACATTTCTGGACATAGCCCCACCGCATTTTGGTCGTTGTGGGTCTAAAACAATGCCCCGAAC